AAATACGTTTTTTATGAGCGCAATTAAGAGTGTCAACTCTATATTAAAACTAGATTAAACATTAGCTCTGACCAGATGGCCATTTATTTTGTCATATTACAGGGCAGATAAAGAGTGGATGCCCAACTGCTCCGATGTAGGCCGCTCCGAATCAATTATCCGATATATGGCGTCACTTGAAGGTAACTAAGAAACCGGCGACCCAGTTTTTGTTGTGCCTGCATTATTTGCTATGCCAGAATACTTCGCATTACCCAGTTCTACTTTGGTATTTCCTTCTGCATCGGCTTATTGGATCTCAACCTTACATGTTCATCTTGGAAAAGATCTTACATCATAATTTGGTGTCTCCGATCAGTGCTAATCAATAAAAAAAATTGTTGTTTCTTGTCATGATGAACATTTTATAGTTGTAGCATAATTAGATGATGATATTTTTAAGGTTAACTGATTTATGAAAATACTTCCATTATTATTCTGCATATCGCCATTTCTTTTAATGTATACACGCTTTCAAAAGTTGGCTAAGTAATTGGTTCACACGTAGTGTGCAGTGACATACCTCATCTCTTCATGCAAATATAATCCACGACATTGTCTATTTCTATTGTGTGCTCCATCGAGATGTTAAATGAACTTCGAAATACATATAGCACGTGACGGGGACACATGACCACCGGAAGAGTTCACTAATTTATATGCTTAGGCAGGTTCACTGGATGATATGCATCATGGATCATAGGTACTATTTGGTTTAGTTTAATACAAAAATTCTCTATACAATCTGTTGATATTAAGGTAGAACTGATAAGCATAAGCATCAGCAGCTAGAAATGTTTTGTCTGCTTGTGAACAGATAAAGCCAAAAAAGAATGTGCGCTATGATTATAAAAATATCACGCCATATGAGTATAAGTAAGAATACTAATGAGCTTCCGCTCATGCTTATGAACTGATCCATCTACTTATATAGAATGATGAGATGTGATCATGCACTTGCATTATCCAATTTCTTACTACTAATTAGATAAGTTCAGCTGTAACGGAGTTGGTATCATGCCCTTTTACATTGTGTACATTGTTTGGTATTCAAGATAAAATCATGCTGTTTTTTTTCCTCATTTGAATGTGAATGACATGATGCATGTTTCTGTGCTCGCTGGTCCTCTTTTGTCCTGACCATTATGAATTTATAGCATGTCATATATACATAATTGATTTTTCCCATTAGATATCATATGCTTTGCCTTCTACCAATACTACTATTTATGGTCTCATGCCTCTCTGTCATGATTCTCCCAATTTTAAAGAGGTACATAAACATTACTTTCTTTGACAGGGTTTGTCTATATTTATCTTTAAGGCTACAACCTGGAGTCTCATGGGGGTGTGAAGATGATACCTAAGTAATCTAGGGCATTGCTTTGTTAGGGGTTCACTTATGTACAAGAATGGCATGTTCTTTCTTGTGTAATATATTGTGGTTTTTTTTTTCTGCTCAACACTATCTGGACTATGTATCACTGTAAACTGCTTTATGGTTTGGACCTGAGCGTTGGAGCATGGTGCTGGACAGGGAACAAGTCCCTAAGACCGCTCTTTGGAATTCCAATATACATGGAGATAGAAGTGACATTTGAGGGCCAACAAATATGTTGTATCGTGGATGTCCCCCTTTACATCATTGTTTTATGAAATGCACTAACGCTCCCGGAAGGTTGTCCTGAGTATATTTGTATATTTGTTATAACAAGTATGATTTGGTTTGAAGTTATCCAATGTCGTGTGATGAACCATGATGTTTAGTATGGAATCATTAGTAAGAGTTTAGTAACCTCCTGCTTTTTGAGATGTTACCTTTGTAGCGAAGATGTTTTTGGAATAATTTGAACCTATATTGGGCCATTGCCTTATGCATGGATGTGCTGCAAACTTTGTTTTAGATTAGAACATTGCTCTCTCATGTTCGCCCTCTTGGTACTGAACTGAATGGAAGTGGTTACCGTTCATGGTCTCATCTGAACAATCTTACGATGATGTTGAACTTGACGGTCTAATGAATGTTTCTTATTCTTTATTTTGTTGTCCTATTTCAATATGTACGCTAAACTAGGATTCCTACTAACTCAAGAATTACTTGCTTCACCACATCGTTGGAACCGGCACCCTCGCGCCAAGGCGCGTTGCCGATCTAGTATATATAGAGAGAGTTAGCACGCTTGCCTCACCTTCCACCTCTCCCCCATACCGGTTGTACTCTCCCCGTAAATCTTGAAACAAAAGAATTTGGTCCATATGTCATAAGAAAATTGATGTATTGTAGATTTTGGCTTAAAAATTGATCCGGTAGCTATAGCGAAAACCGCCAGAATTGGGTGGTTTGAGAAAAATGTAGTGTTGAGATATTGTAGTCAAACCTAGTTCACCAAAGCACTAGCTTGAATCCCAACTTGCCTCAGCCCATTCGTTGTCCATTTCAAAGAAAAACTTTGATTTGACCCTTTTGACTACTATATTAGTATGGGTGAACACTTGCCAAAAACCGATGATTGAACCTGAATCGAATAAATTGATGTAGCCATTTTATTTTGCAAGAAAAGTTCCAATCTATTCATCAATTACAAGGTAGTACAAAGAACACCAGAAGTAAAAAAATTATCCATATCTGTAGACCACCTAGTGACGACTACATTATTAGCCAGAAGAAAAGAACACATTTCCTTCTTCGGTGCAACAAACATCTTCGTAACACTATACTCATGTCAATCGGCGTGATAAGTTAGCAGTGCGTGTTTCAGTGACATGAGCTATGCGCGTTTTTGGAGGCGGCTATGCCCCCCCCCCCCCTCCTCGGCAGAATGATTAACCACACTTAAAATCATGTAGTTGACCCAGTGTTACTCAATATACCTATAGGTTATATGAAAATCAATATCATAAAGCACATTGCTTGAAAATTACTTAACTATGAATTGTAGAGAAGTGAGGATATTTTTGCAAAACAAAATATTATGAAGATCCAATAGATTAATCACAATGTCATTACCAACTTTTACATTCCATAATCACATCCATGGAATGAGTACGTGAAAATCTTAAATTTTGTAAAGTTCAGGAGGAGTAAAACTCTCAAATTATAACCTAATAATGATCATCGGATTGCATATATTGTACTCTTTTTTTCTTTTATGAGTTGTTCCCTAACGGTTTCTCATATAAGGTTTCTAACGAGACAATATAAACACGAGTCCATATATGCCATACCACTTTCTCTTTATATTTTCCCACTGAGTTTTAAAGGAATTTTTTAATGGCATGTCCTATTGCACTCTTTTTCATTTATAAGTTTTTATCTCAGTGTTTCTCATAATGTTTCTCAATATGTTCTAAAAAATCATATATCATGCTTTCTGTCTTCCCCTACCAGGGGTTTTAAAGGAAAACATATAAATCATATTTATTGTTCTATAAACTTACTAATAAATTTTATCCCCCTTTAGAGATTTTTCTCGTATGAGTTGCCGAGAGACAATAATCATTATATGTTATATCATTTTTTACTTATTTATCCCACTGGTTGAAGGAGTTCAAACAACATATCAAAATATTATTCTCCTCATATTTTTCCCACAACGTTTTTGGAGGAATCTTTCTTGAAATGAAGACGACGACATTCTCAGGGAGGAATCTTTATGAAGATGATGCGTACTAGACTAACATAGATTGGAGGGGAGTGTTAAGGATTAAATTTCTCTCGATGCAAAAAAGATTAAATCTATCCTAATAATCAATGCTTAAGTCGGTTATAGTTAGTGACAAGGTAATCCTAACTGCCTCGTAAAGAAGGTACAAATATCCAGTTTTCAATCAATGAGATTAATTGTTCCATCATTTACTTTCATTTTAAAATAGTTTTCTCTATATCAAAATCTAGGCATATCTAATTGAGCTGCATAATAGTGTAATCGTTCATTTGAAACTTGTTGATGAATAAAATCAAGCACTGATGACTTTCTCTCGTTTCCTTGCTAACCCTAGTTAGCTAGGGTAAACTTTTCTCTCCAGACTTTACCCGCGAGCATGTGGACTTGCCTCCCCTCTGCCTACGTTTCGACGGCGGTGGTGGGAGAGAAGTCCCGCCACCTCCTCTCCGTTAGTAGTTTGGGTTAGGTTTTTTAGTCCTCGCAGGTGCGGCGCTCGAACGGATGATGAAGTTTCTTCTCCGAGTTTGTCTGCCGAGCTTCAATCCCCCTCGAGTTCGTCCGCTTGGACGTAGTCGACGGAGCTCCGGCCTAGATTCTTGTCGTCTCCTTGGGGGTTGGGGGGAGGGTAAGATTAGAGTTTCTCGTCATGTGGCGAGATTTGATGTCAGGTACTTCAATTCTATGCAAGAGTTCAACAATGACGATCGTGGCTCCAGGACATTGGTCCTTAAGGGCACCCGCGTGAAGACTTCCTCGGCTGTTATCGACAAAGTTCAAGCCGGCCCCGGTAGGGGAACGACAACAGTGGCTCGTTCTGGCGGCAGTAGGGTCGTCCAGTGGTCTCTGAGTCTGGATATAGTTTTTATTATGTTTGAGATGCTTTGTATTTTCAGTGAATTATATAATATCTGATCTTTTCAAAACAAAAAAAAACTCGTTCCTGAATAAAGTTTTACAGTTCCCTGAAAAAAAGTATCTCACGGGGAATTCACCTGACCCAGCTCTCCGGCCTCCGTGACTCCACAAACGAAAAGGAAAAAACTCTCTGGCCTCCGGCGACTTCGCCCAGCCATCTCCCCGGCGATCCCGGCGGCGGCCACTGAAGGCTTCATCCCCCTCTCCCGATTCGATCGATGTGAGTTCTTCTTCTTCCTGTAATCTCCCAGCTTCTTTTTGCTTTCTCTTCTCCTCTCGCGGAATCGAACCCTAGCTACAGTTTTGTGATTTGTCCCCAAATTACCGTAATTGCATCTACTTGTTCAGTGCGGAGCCTAGCTGAGGTGGGAAGGAAGATCGATGGATGCTCCGGAGGTGGTTCCCCAACGGTGAGACATCCAATCCTTTCTCTTCTCCTCAACAATTTCTTTCCTTTAGTCCGTTCCGCTGGATGTTGCGTGTTGGATGTTTTGCCCCGGCAGTTGCTTCAAGAAATTGACGCCAGTTTGCATTTTTCTTTTGTTGGCGCCAATGTCTCAGTGTCCATCCCAAGAAGAAACCATGTGTGGATGGCAATCAACAGCAGCATTCCCAATCCCAGACATCCATGGGCCAGTGTCACACGATATCCGAGGTGCTTAACGACGACAACCTCCTCATCGAGATCCTCATCCGTGTGGGCTTCCCTACCACCCTCGTCCGCGCCGCCCTCGTCTGCAAGCGCTGGTACCACCACGCCTCAGACCGCGGGTTCCTCTGTCGTTTCCGCAAGCGCAACCCACCCCGCCTCCTTGGCTTATACATCGACGTAAGGTGGACCTGGTTGGGGTTGTACGCTACTCCGCGCTTTGTCCCAATGCAGCCCCAGGCCCCGGAGCTTGACACCGTTGTCCGCCGCGTGGCGAGCCATAGCTTCGACGCCTACGGTGACGGAATATGGATCATGCACTGCCAGAATGGTAGCATCTTCACCAGATACCGCAAAGGAACAGAAGTGACACATGGAGTTTACCGCCCATTGTGCCCTGAGAGAGACATGGACTTCATTCCACCACTCCCAACCGCCCAGAACCACATGCAAAAACTTCTTGGTGCAATCCTCTCCAAAGAAGAAGGTGATGGGCTGTCCTACCTGTATGTGTTGGCGGAGTGTACCACGCAAACAAAAACTTTCAAGGTGCGTGTGTATATGTTGCAAGGCGGCGTCTGGTGCATGCATACCTCGGCCACAACACAACTCCCTCATATGCTGCCTGCACTGAAAGCAGTGCTTGTTGACGATAAAATTTATATGGCTGACGTCTTCAGTAATGACATTATTGTCTTGGATTTGGCGACCTCGAGTTTTTCCAGAATTCTGCTCCCACAAGGAGTGAAGTATCACACTCTTCACACCATCTTGTCTCGGGCTGATGATGCTTCCGGTCTATATCTCATCCATGTCCATGTCAAGGAGCATCAACTTTGCATCTGGCTCCACAAGGGGGACAACTGGTTGCTGGTCGATACCCTTTGTTTGCATCAGATGTGGGCTAATTTGAGGATGCAAGATCACACGCTCGAGGACGAGGATATTAGTTACGCCTATATAAGCCAGGTGGGAGATAATGTTCAGTTTGTGTTCTTGAAGACAATGTGTGGACGCATACTCTATCTGGACGTCACTAGCAGGACACTACATAAAGTGCATGGGATGACAGAAAAGGATCGACATTTCAGTGCTATCTATCCTTTTATGATGATTTGGCCGCCCATATTCCCTGCGCTCAAGGATGATCAAGCAAGGTTTTCCCTTTGGCCTTTACATGATCTATGTATTGCTCTTGTTGAGGCTAGTTTGTTTTGCGCAGAAATTTCTATGCTGCGGGTAATACCTTCATATTAAGCTAACTCTGTACCTTGTGTGTACCTAACATGATTTATTTGAATCACTTGTGGAAGTTTAAAGTTTGTTATGCTTTTCATTTAATACTTATCCTTGCAAGATAAAAATATCTTGATATCAATCAATCGATTCATAACAGCATGTATTTACTTTCTGATCCAAAAATTGTACGAATTCATTAATTTCTGATGTACCAAGTAAATACTCATTGTCAGAGGTTTCTAAATATGTGAATATTTTGTTTGGCCCATTGAGCATACATGGTACAAGCTCTCTCGACAATAATTTTGGATGAACGCAATTTCTGTGAACAGTCAAACAGTTTTGACATGTCTTGGCAAAAGATTATGATCAGTCCTGGCGGCTTTATTTTTTACTGTCCTTCACAAATGCTACTATCCCTTCCTATCAAGTTACATCATATATAAACGTTTTGCACACATGTCTTCTAGTTGATTCAACTTCTCCTTGAATTGGCCTTCTTTTTTCTGGTAGGCAGGGGAGTTGGGTGGAAATGGGTCAACCTGAAACTGTAAGCACATGAGATCTTCTAGTGTACAATGTTGGTTGAGCAGGTGAAGTAAATCTATCTGCATATCTTTTCTTTTCTTACCAATTTAAAAGGTGACGTTGATACATTGTTTTAGGATTCCAGTGCATGAATTTGATTAATTACTAAACTGTTTAGTTATTACATTTCAAAAAAAAGAAAACATGTCATTGAATTACATGTCGGATGTGTCTGCTATGTACTCAGTGGAGGTATGATAGTACAGCTAATTGTTCTTCTGCTGGCTGGACGATGCTTGTTTTCTGTAGGTATGTTTCTTTTTCGAGAAACAGCTTCAACAGAAGTTTTTATTTGAGTTATCATAGAAGAGAAACATTCGTAATAGGGGTGTCCCCTGTGCATGAGTGCATGGTTGGTGATATCACAATGGGCAATCAAGGATAGCTAAGACAACCTAGAGGGACAGGGGGTTATTAGCATATGAACTGTGGTCGTCAAGCTAATATACCTAAGAGTATCAATCCTTTGTATGTTTGGAGTTTTGTTGTATAACAGAATCGATGTGTCATGTCTGTATGCTGAAGCATGCTGTCTCTCACATGGATTTCAATTATGAACCGTATGCTCATGGTTATGTATGCTTTCTGTTTCATATATGTGCCAATGATGTAGTGTATAATAAATCCAATCTAACAAGTATAGTATCTGGGTGTGGTTTTACCTTCTATGACCCGCTTGTAGTTTGGGAGGGCTATCAAGGGTCGGGGCATTTATTATATGAACAGTTCTATCGTTTTTACTTTTTGGTACTGCATAGAGTTGGACCTCCATTTGTAGAACAACTTCTCAGTTCTCCAGATCCTTGTCATGCTCAATTATGTCCATCCTGATCCTTGTTCTGTGTTGCTTTGAACAGGGACGCCATGTGAAGAAAAAGGGATACCCGGAAGGTCTTTAGATCACAGTACAGTGTGCACAAACTTTGTTTTCAGTCAGTCACAAGTTTATTGGGTACTGGATAAGGATGTTATGTATATGTGTAACTGGATCAGTTGCTGCTCTGCCCTGTTTGTAAGAATCCTTGTATGTTTATGCTTGAAAAAGCTGTCTATGTCCAGAGTCCGATCTATCTGTGTTGCGGTATGTCTTCTCCATTTTCAGATTATGTTCTGTTCACAGATGATATTTTGCATCTGGCAACTCAGTATGCGTGATGGATTGCGCTAAATACAAGATCCTTCTCCATCTGAGGAGCTTCTATTAAGCTGATGCGTTGCCTCGAGTCTTGGTGCACACTAACTGATGAAGCTCAACCCTATCTCAAACTGAGCTATTTCTGCTTTTTCTAACAAAAAGTTCGAGCAGTGAATTGAAAAAGGGTCAAGCTTGCACCTGCTTGAAGCTTTTTTCATTCTTCATTCTGAGGTGGATCCGAACTTGAGAAGTATCCCTTGATGCTACAAATAAACATTTCAAGTGTCCAGAATGTTGCTTATTATCTTTTGTTCGGTTTCAGGAATGCAAGAGCAAGATCCGCAAAGGAGAACTTTGCCTACTTGAGAATTTTCTCTTCCTAAGGAAATTATCTCATTAAGGTTCGTTCTAGGAATTACACAAAATAGCCCTCTTCAACTTTGGAGTTCATTCGATCCCCTCTCGATCTCCTGTGCCTCCCCGGTCAGGTGACGGTCCCCCAAGCGCTCTTCTTCCTTCCGGCGACGATGGTCGTCCTTGTCCTGTCCCCGAGCCGAGCTCATCCCCGCCTCAGAGCTCCTGTCCCCTCCAGTTATCTTCCTCCCTGACCAAGGTTAGCCTCTGCCACAGTTCCCAAAAAAAAAGGTTAGCCTCTGCCTCCTCTCCACCCTGACGAGATAAGCTTGCTGCTCCAGATCCAAGATGGATTGCTTACTGCACAATGTCACCTTGTTAGTGGCCAAGACAGGCTGACTGTTCCCTCTGTGCCATGTTTCCTTTTGAGCAAGCTAAGTTAGGCATCACAGTACTTACTAATGCTTGCTACTAGTATATGACATGAACAAGCCTTGCATGGTGACGATAGCCTTTGATACATTTTGCTTCTCTCAATAACTTCTATGAGCAATGCCAGCCCTGATTGCCCTGTTACCTGCTTCTGTCTACGAATCTTACATGCTGATCTTGTCTGAAAACAATCACAATCTGATAGCTTCTGTAACCAGCTATGTAAGAAACTTGTGTTGCAATTTAAGGGCAAGTTCAATCAATACTTGTACAGTCCATCTTGCAATTTAGAATGTGTTCATTACATATGTACGATGCAGGATGATATGTCTTCATTCAAATATCCTGAGCCCAGGATAATGTACCTATCTACATAGTCTTACATTTAACGGGGTAGCTTTAGCAAATGATGATATGACTTTTGGTCTGGTTGCAGTAATGTCGTCGTATTTTATATCTTTCAAAAGATGACGTTGCCTTGCTATGATTAATCATGTGGACGGGATAAATAGTCCATTATTTCAGTTATGATAATGATCTGGCGACTGGTGTCTGGTGGCACATAAACTTTTTAACTGACTGAGTTGGTGTATTCATACACAGATAGATGGGCTTGTGGATGCTGCTGGAGGTTTTTTTGCTTGTCACAAATTCATTGGCATACTGAATGAAGACCGGTTCCTTGGTCCCAGGGGATGGAGCATGTCTGAAGTTCTCGCGGGTGCCTTTTGATAGCACTCGATGTTCTTGTCATTTTTCGTGAACTTGGCGTCAGGCAGAGGGTCGTTGTCCGCTGTTGTTGGGGTTGAACTGATTTCAGTCCCAGCATTATTAGGTAAAACCTAATCATGTTCAAAAGTTGCCACAAGGATGTTCGCGCTGACTTGAATGTAGCTTGTTGGTGTTGTCGCTGTAAATTAGTTCTGGACACCCTGTGAGGGTATCTTATCTTCCTGTATTACTTCTGACTCAGTTGGGATTGATTGATCATGAACATGGTAAATTGCATGTATTTGCTAGAACTGCAATGGAAAGATTTCATGGCCAGGCAAAACAAAATATGCAATGTATTTTCTTCAACATTTCATCCTAAGGAAAATAAATTCATGCAGTTCCTTCACCCCAGTACTGAAAGAGTATTGCTCACCCTCTCGCGCTTGCCTGGATCCATGACGCAAAATCTGAGTCGTTTTTTTTCTTTCTGAAATTGGGTAGGACATAATTGAACCTAAGCAATAATCAAAAGGATATGGATACAATCTATAAATCTAATCGAGTATCTTTCCTATTTTAATTACTCTCTTTACTACTGTACTTAGATAAATATTCCATATCAATATGCATATATATTCCTTAATCCTATACTCATGGACATAACAGTATATAGGTAGGTATAAGAATAAACATTTTCACTACTATTTCTTATTCTTTGGTCATGACCATGTTATCAAAAGACATGCATTTTCTACAAACACACCGACTATTTTTCACTGTCAAGCAAAAGTTTGATGCATATTTTCTTCAAGAAAGAAAAATGCATGCACGTGGAAAATTACAGGACGATGAACTTGCCCAACTAGCTTCCTCTCGATCTCCATGAGTTTTGAGGTCTTTGTTGAGAAGCCCCTAAAGCCATCGATACAACAAGTTAGTGATGTAGATGAAGATGTCAGGGCCATTGAGATCTATAAACGACATGGGTTGTCACCAAGGGGAAAATATCTGGTGCACCGGAGCTTGTGGTGCTACCGATGCACCGAACTCACATTGTGCTTTTAAAACGTTCAACAAATTCTGCAAAAAAATTAGTACACTCACACAACATCAATGTAGGTTGTCACAAAATTTCAAGTTAAATCGAATCATAACTCAAAAAACAAAAATGAAAGTTCGACACTGAATAGTACATAACATTAACTTGGGCTTTAGATTTGGCCCATTTTCACACTGATGCCAAATTTGTCATTTTTGTATCTCAAAAAATATTTTGAATTTGTATACGACTTTTTGTGACATCATACATTGATGTTGCGTTAACGTGCTAGAATTTTTTCAGATTTAAAAAAATATTCTATAGCATCCGGTGCACCGGTAGCACCACAAGTGTGAGTGCACCGGATACATTCCCTGTCACCAAGGATTAACACGCCAGAGGGGTCACTGGGAACTCATTCCGTCCTAGAGCTCTATGCTTTCCAAATATATTTCTCGATGTGCCAAAAAATTCCTAATGGATGACGCCCTCTATCGTAAGGGGCGAGGAGTGCTTATACGGTGCATCCCTGTCAGACCCGAGAGGAATCGATGGACTAGATGGCTAATTACAGGCAAGGTAAGAGCTAATTCAGGCCAATTTCGGAGGCATATTGCGAGTAAATGGAGCTCGAGTATTAGGGTTCTAGCCCATGATTCAGAATTGGGAAAGTAGGATGGTCTGTCCAGCCACAGCCCGGCTGGTTATAAGGCTCGCAGTGACAGCTAGCGCGCTGGTAAAAACGGAAAACGCTACAGTACAACGGTAGAAAGATCCTACGGTGTAAAACCTCTGAAGCCATCGTAGCCGTCCGTTGTCTGAAGAGTTAAGTTGCCTGAAACGCTACAGTTAACTGAATCCGTCACACTACTAACTGAACATGTCTGACATTGCCCTCCCCTTGAGAAACGACGAGTCCTCACGGCGTTTGTTGATTTGCGCGCCATGCTTGTGTAGTGATCTTGAAAAAGTCAGGAAATGTGTACTTGATGAAGTCCGCATCCTCCCATGTTGCTTCTTCTGGAGATAGATTTTGCCACTGTATAAACCACTGCACCACAGGGAGATTATGCCTGGGAATTTGCCTCACTTGCAACACTGCCTCGGGCCCTGTTTTAATAGTTCCATCCGCTGCTACCATTGGTAGATTAGGGCTTGGAATAGATTTACTACCAATGTGCTTTTTCAACTGGCTGACATGAAAAACAGGGTGGATTTGCACATGAGGAGGGAACTGCAACTTGTATGCCAACTTGCCCACTTTCTGGATAACTAAAAATGGTC